CAGTTGTCCTGGGCCACTGCAAACACCACACTCCCTCACCACACTGAGCAAACTCACTTTGGTTGTGAGAGCCTGAGGTTAAAATAAAAAGCACTTCCCTGTTGGCACTGCTTTGGCTGCATGCACGTGATTTCATGGGGGAATGTGTTAAGCCCAGTGGGAGCCGGGCTGGGACAGGTGTGTGGAGCCATCTAGGTGAGCTCTCCCTCCACCCCCTCCCCTCTGAGGTGGCTCCCGGGTTAGGGAATGTTCCTGCATCTCCGCAGGGACCATCTGGTGGAAAACCAGCCCAGCCCCACCCATGAGGGGCAAGGGTGAGACCTTGAAGGCCTTCTGCCCTGGTGTGGGCTGGGCGGCTCTCCTGGCCGAGTGCGTGTTCTTTGCCAGCCTCTCTCTTCCGGAAGTTTCACAATCATGCTCTAATGGAAACAGCATGGTTAGAGAGGCTGGTGGCCCCTGGGATTGTGGCTGAGCAGTGATGGATGGGCCTGAGGATGGAGCGGTGGCCCACGTGGTCGCACCTCCTGCTTGGCTCCAAAACGGAGCTGTTAGTACAGCCTGACTTGGATCATTTATCTCCAAGTCCCAGGGGATTTTTAAACAGCTGTGGAGCCGACCTTTTCCAGAGGGATCATGGTTCTGGCTTGTGGTAAGAAAAACACATACTGCCTGCACCCCAAAACCCAGACCTGGATTCCTGGAGCAGCAGGCCCGCCATGCACCCCAGGATGCTCCCATTCTGAACCTCCTGCCCAGTGTCTGTGCCATTCAAGCGGGTGCAGGGCCTGTGCCATTCAAGCGGGTGCAGAGCTCAAACTCGGCACATATGGAGGTAGAAGGCATTTTTCTCTTTCCCTCCTCTCCACTGCTTCATTTCTGTTAATCACCCAGGGGAGTAGGGCTTGGCAGCAACACCTGGGCCTATCCACACCATCCCACTGGCCAGGCAGCATTTTTCTTTCCACTGATGCAAAATCATTTTCTGTTCTTTCCCTGCCCCGTCCGTGTCCCACGTCCCTATCTCACCTCCCGCTTCCTCCCCTGCCTTATTTTCTGCTTTCCTTCCCGGGAGGTCTTGTTCCTGGGATGGCAGGGGTCCATCTGGGGTAGGTGCCCAGTCCCCAGTGCTGGCCTGAAGAAGACAAGTGCAGAGTGCACCGGCTGTGAGAGCAGCCCCCGTGCCTGTCCCTCTGCAGCGAGCAGGGGCACGTGGTGGCCTCCTCCTTGGTGTCCTTCTGTGACTTGCTGGAAGCCCAGCATGACCCTCAAGCACCTCATGGAGAGAGTTGGGGGGAGGAGAGGCTGGGTAGGAGCAGGGACAGGGCCTGGCACTGCGGAGAGGGTGGGAGGTGGGCCTTGCTCACTCCAGCTGGGAGGCCCTGGGTTCCCAGAGGAACCTGAGTGGGGCCAGGGTGGGCACAAAGTTCATAGTGAGGGAGACACAGATACAGGTGCCAATAGATGGCAACAAAACAAAGATACTCAGAGGAGGAGAGAGTCCCAGTACATGAACATCAACGCATCAGTCGGTGATCACCACTGAGCCATAATGGCCAGAGGGGAGCTGAGAGGGAAGCGCGAGAGCAGAGACACGGGGATGGGGTGGGAGCCGCAGAGAGGCTCAGTGGGAGGGAGGAAGAGGGCAGAGGCTCCAGGGCCCCACACCCCCTGCCCGGCACCCCAGAGCCAACCTCACCACTGCCTGATGGGCTGGAATCTGGGGAGGGACCTGGAGGCTAGGAACCCCCCAACACACACACACACACACACACACACACACACACACGCACTCCAACTTCCAGAAATGCCAACCCAAGTTGGAGCCAAGGGAACAATGCCTTCCCCATCCACCCTGCCCACCTCAGGGCCCGCCTGCAGAGAGGGGGCTCTTGGAGCTCGTGTGGCCACCTGGGCCTCCCAAGCAATTGTGTCCAAGTGAGCAGGAAGATTCTAGAGTTCAGCAGATTCAGTTAAGGGCTCCCAGCATGCAGACCGTGGCCTTCAGAAGATTCTTTGCTCTTTCTGCTGGGTCTGGATCCAGGTTGGGGGCACAGGGGCCTCTGGTGGACAGAGGACCTCAGGAAATCAGGACTGGCCTGGGGTTGTCCCAGCTGTGTCTGTGAAACTGGAGTGGTTTACCCCAGTAGGAGTTATGGAACCCAGTTGGGGATTCACTTCTGCATTGGCTTCCAAGCTGTCTCTACAAGGAGAAAATTTCAATATTTCAATCTTGGGCCTGTCAGCCCAGGTGTGATCTCCAAGGACAGCATCAGCAGTCCTCTTGGGGACACAGTACCGCTTGCTGGGACTTCCCCAGTCACCTCCTCAACTGAGTAACAGTCCTGGTGGGGCCCAGCTGCTCCCCTCCCCTTGGCCTCCATCTCCATTCTTTCTCTGCCCCCTCCTTGTCCCATGTCCCTGTGTCCCCTCCCTCTTCCTCCCTGCCTGTTTTTCTGTGTTTCTTCCCTGGGATGCCTTGCTCAAGGGAGGGCAGGATTCGGATCTGGGGTAGGTGCCCAGCCCTCAGTGCTGGCCTGAAGGAGACAAGTACAGAGCCTGCAGGGTCTGGATATGCAAAGAGAGGACCCAGAACTTACCTCCTTGCACATTTACACACACACACACACACACACACTTATAATCACTGTGCAATCATAATCACATTACAGAACATTTAGAAAAAAAGAGGAAAAAAACCTCCCCGTCCCACCTAACAGAGCTGCTGCAACTATTTCCCTTTTCATATACAAATGCAATTTTAAACACAGTAGGAGTTTTATTCTCTATAAAATTGTGTGCCTTGTTTGTCTCTCTTAGAATGAAAATAAGACTTCATAAGAATTTTAGATGTGGTTTATAGTCTTAACAGTTATCATTTAAAATGAGAGATTGATATTCTAGGAAATCAATGTGCCCTTGATAATAGTCCCCCATTTTGTTTTGGACATTTAGGTGATTGCTGTTTTGTTGTTGTTGTTGTTGTTGTTGTTGTCGTCGTTGTTGTTGTTTTGCTGGCCCACACGGTTCTGCATTGGAGCTTCTATCATATTTCAAATTTGTCTCTGGGACAGATGAACTGCAAGTTTCTTGAGTCCTAACATGAGGTCAGCACTACCAATGGGGACCTCCATCTTTCAGCCCTCTGCCTTCAGCCACAAGGGAAAGTGGTTCAGACAGTGTGGGTGGAGCAGTGTCGATCCACCCCATTGCTGGGTCAGCTCAGCCCCTTCCTAGATGAAGGATGCCACAGTCATTATGTTGTTGCAGCTTCTAAGTCATTGGGTTAACCGCAGAAGTAGAGCAAGTAATAGGCAAACCATTCTCAGTTGGCTGAGCTTTGGTGATGTGGCCTCAGCTGGGGCTACTGAGATGGTTTTTAGGGGACATTTGTGGGGCTTTTTCAGTTATTTATTTACGTTTTATTTTAGATTCCAGGGTACATGTTACATGAGTATACTGTGCAATGCTGAGGTTTGAGCTTCTAATGATCTTGTTGCCCAAGAAGTCAACATAGTACCTGACAAGTATATTTTCAACCCTTGTCCCCCTCCCTCCATCCAAGGCTTCTGAAATGCACCAGGTGCCTCTCCAGGTGAACCACTTGCCTACTTTTCCCCCAGTTCTTAAACAGCAAGCAAAATTACAATGACAAAGGTACAAGCACAACATCTAACCCTTCCTTGAGTCTCATATTTTGTATGGCTCCTGTACTTATGCAAGTTAATAAATTTGCATGCCTTTTTTTCCCTGTTAATCTGCCTATTGTCAGTACATTTCAGTGACTTGAATCTTCAGAGGGAGAAGTGGCAAGAATTTATTACTCCTCATTTGGCTGATACTCTAGGATCCCACATAAATATTTTGGTGGGGCTCAGAAAACAATACCCCAAACTGTGGTGCTTTGGGCTACAGAGCCCTTTGAACTAAGGGAAATCAAAAGGCCTTAGACTCAAACCTCAGAGCCAAGGATTTTCTAACCTTCCTCCCCTAAGCATAGGGAGGGACTCTCTCTCTCTCTGGAAGTTCCCTTATCTGACTGAGAAAATCTTCTTCCAAAAGAAATACAATTGTCTCAAAATCCCCTCCCTAGAAATCTCATCAAATAACCAGGAAAGAGTGACCACAAGAGAAAACACCTAAAGTCATCACACCCAGATAGATATTTCATCTGTTCTTCTGAGGGAAACTCCTGGAAGACTTTATCTGCATAATAAGACAACCTCTGTTCACAGTGCACTTCTGCCCCTCACCTTCCCACCACCTCCCCAGAGCTCAGAGGAACACTGTCCCAGGCCATTGTCTGCTCCTTGGGCTCATTCAACTCCCTTACAAATCATTTACTATTCCTCAAAATTGCCTACATCCCCTTTCTTCCCTCTTCCTTATGAAGAGGGTAGTTAAGCCTCAACCATCTGACCCTTCCCTTGAGACTCATATTTTGTACAGCTCCTGTGCTTCTGCACATTAATAAATATGTATGCCTTTTTTCTGTTAATCTGTCTATTGTCTGTTTATTTTAGTAGATTAAACCTTCAGAGGGGAGGGAAAATTCTCTTTACTCCTATAGTTCCCACCAGCAGCAGTGAGGGCACAGGGTCAGGTATGGGTGCTGGTTGTGCTGTATGCCCCACTGTAAGGCATTTCTCAGCTCCACATCTTTCACTTTAATTGAATTTAAACCCATAAGGATTTAAACTCCAAGCAATGTTTGCCAATGTGGAACACTTGAAAATGACACAACAATCTAACAACAGAGGACATCCTGTGTCAAAATAATAGCATAGGAACATTTTACTGATGTAACGTGCTATTTGTAATGCCTATTTGTGGGGAAAGCATAATCTGATTTTTAAATGAAAAATTACACACATACACATACACACACAAGCCTGGAAAACTAAAAATATACAATTAAATGTTAACTGTTTTTTTCTGGATGGTGAAGGGATGGCTAATGGGTGAGTTTTTTTGTTCTCTTTTTGCTTAACTGTATTTTCTACTTCACTATAATTAGCCTATATTTGTTGTGTAATTGTTTAAAAGATGTTCTTTACAGTACAATAATATCCTTCATCTACATTTTTTTCACTCTCTTTCATAAATACGATTGTATTTGATACCACAGTAACCCAGGAATAAGGCCAGCACAGTATATATCCTTGTGCTTTATTTTGTAGATGATGAAAGGGAGGCTCAGGGAGTTGTCATGCCTGCCCATGGTCACCCAGCCTGTGGCTGGAGGAGCTGAAGTCGGGCCAGGACTACTGATGCCTGGTTCAGGACTTGCCATGGCACCACGCTCCTTTGGGTGTAATTCTCACCCTCCAGACCCTCAGCTCACTGGCTCCAACAGCCATCCCTTAGACAAATTCCACTTGAAAGAAACAGCAGTTTCCTAATTTCTCTAATATTGACAAGACATCTGAAAACACATTTGACTGTTTCACTGCCCCACCTAGAACCTTCAGGGGCTCCTCCCGACTCCAGGGCAGGGGTTCTCAACTTTGGACATTCCAAGCTGGATAATTCTTTGTTGTTGGGGGCAGTCCCGTGCACTGTAAGATGTTTAGCAAGATCTCTGGCCTCTTTCCACTAGATGCCTTGGTCCTTACCTACACACCCAATTGCATCAGCCAAAAGTGTCTGATGCATTTTCTGATGCAATGTCTCTAGACAAAATCTCACCGTATTGGAACCAGCCAAAACTCTTGGGGCTTCCATCCTAGCCTGTGGTTACTCCCACAGCATCTTCCCCAGGCCCTGTCTCACATCTGTTTGCTATATTTCTCCTTGACCCTCCAGCCCCTGTGCCAGCACTTCACAAAGTGTGTGGAAATCACCCAATATCTTCTCCGTCTCCTCAACAGAGTGTGAGCTCTTGAGAGCAGGGACTGTGTAATTCTCAGCTTCAAATCCCTCACGGCCTGGTCAGGGGACACTGTATCTACTGTAAATCCTTCACAGATACCTGGGCTGGAAGGAAGGAGCAAAGAAGGAAAGGAAAGAGGGAAGGAGAGACAGTTACTTAATATGGTACAGTAATTTAAGGATCTTTTCATGATCTAGTGATCTAGTTTCATATATTTCTTTTGAAAGATGTGTTTATGCATGGCCAAGTCTTTTTTCCTTTGAATTACAAGGGGTCTATTAAAGGGAGCCACAGCCCGATTTGTCTCCACCAACCAGGGAAATGAAGAGAGTGGATGATCCTGTAGCAGCAGCAGCAGCAACAGCAGGGGCCATGGCAATGTAACAGTTAATAACAGCGTACTTCCCAGGCCCCTCCCTCTTTAAGCCTGTTTCCAAACTTTAAAATGAGAATAAAAAAAAAATGCCCATTTTCGAGTTATTAAACTGGTACATATGGCTCACCCAGGACAGTCCTGGGTATGTAAAACGTTCAGCCCAGGTTAATTGAATCCAAGTCAAAATCTGAACACTAACGCCTGTCCAGCAGCCCTGAAAAACGGGCCACCATCTAACCAGCTAACCAGCCACTGAGGGATTGCATTTCTGCATTTCTCTACCCAAAGGCAGAAGCAAAGGAGGCAAATACATCCAGCGTCCTTCCAGAAAGGAGCTGCCAGGCCCTCTTCTCTTGTTGCTTTATTTTGCTACAACCTTTAGTGGCTGCTTTTCTTGAATTGACATCTTTAATATCTCAGGGGTGTTTCGTTATTTTCTACCTGTTTCTTCCCTTGGTTATTCTTTGGTTCATTCAGGGCTTTCTCCCAGGTGACCGGATCCTTCCTGTCCTGGGGTGTGTTGGGTTGACTTGGGCCATGGGGTGGCTGAAGCTACGTGTCAGGAACAAGATCTCCCACAGTGGCACCACACGGGTGGCATTTCGTTTTGGAAGCCACTGCTCCTCCTCTGATTCTGGGGTTTGGTTCTGAGGAAGCGGCAGTAATGGTAGCAGCCACAGAAGCCCCTCCGTCCAGCAGGGCGTCAGTGATACCTCTGGGTTCCTTTCCCTCCGGGAATGCTGCCGCTGCTGCTGCCGTGGGTCTGAAATCACCAGCGTGGAGTCCAAAGACATAAACATGAAATTTCCTGACTGTAACACTGCAGGATGCTCTTGAGGAGACTGGCCCAGAAAAAAATATACAAGGTTTCAGCGTCTGAAAAAGCTGTGCTTCTTCTGAATGAGGGGTTTGTTTTTGTCCTGTGGACAGGAAGGCTCTGGCAACTATTTTCCTCATTGCTTATGCTGCTAGGTAACTTAGAGTCAAAATCGAGTGCCGCCTCTCTGCACGTGAGCCATACCATTGGGTATGCATTCCTGTGAGGTCATCTAACCATTATTTTCCTATTCATGTTCTGCTTCCATTTCTCAATGTTTTTTGTTGTTATTATTCTGAACAAAATCTGCTTATGTGAAGTTCACAGAATCGTTTCCCAACAATCAGCAACCTGGGAAACGAGCATCCCTCTGCCCCATTGTCTCCACGCCATAGTTGAAGGTTGCAGGATTCAGCAGCCCAGACAGCTAGGATTGCTTGTGCTGTGTTTTCTATGTTCGTTTAAAATCCTGCCTGTGATTTATTTTCTTTCAGTCCCAAGTGAGGCTGTGCTAGTTTTCATAGCACTTCACAGGGCTCAACACCAGGTGGTAAAGAATTCAAGTGGATCCACGGGCCAGGTACATTTCTGTTAAGACAAATGGTTTTTAAAGGAAATTATGTGAGTCTTTTCATAGCCCTTTCTTAAGGCCCTCCCTCCCTTTCCTCCTTCCTTCCTTCCCTTCTTCCTTCCTTTCCTTCCATCCCCTGCTAATTTTGGGGCAGAGAGGAACTGAGATCCCACTAATAATGAGCAGTTGTTGAAATTCTGGGAAACGCTGGGGATTGCACACTGCTTTATCTTCTAGAAGCCTCCAGGAGGCTGCTTGTATTCATTCTCATTTCCTGTTCTTACCCTATTTTTGGCATCTTCCTCTTTTTGCTTCTGAGACCCTCCTTCTCTGGTTTGGGGTTACCTTTGGGGCTCCCAGACCTCTAGCCTGGGTACTTCCCAGGACTGAACTCCACTGTTCTTCCCTACCTGGGCTACTTCAATTGTCACTACCCTTATGCAAATCAGCCTAACAAAGATGGTTCTTGGTGTTACATTTGCCCACTTTTTTTCCCAATGGTGGCCTGATTACCCTAGGTTCCTCTCTGCTGTTGCCCCTCTGTCTACCACAGACTCTAAACACTCTCCATTCATTGACGCCATAAGTGATTAATCTCTGGCTCGTTTCCTCTCATCTCCCTCTGAGTGTGTGCAGTACCCATTCATCAAGATGCCCAGATAACTGAAGCAATCCACCTTCATTCGGGCCATGCTCTGGGCTGTGACGCCAGCCTGGCGATCTGCAGTGCTCAATGTGATTACACTTTCTTAGTGAATCCCTGGGGCTCTTCAGCCTCCTGCAGAACCACATCACCTTGAATGGCTTTTCTATAAATGCCTCCCCTTCCTCCCCATTAAGTCCTTCTATGGATTTTAATCTTAGGCTGGCTTTAGCAATACAGACAGTCCTGACTTACATTTTTTGACATTACAATGGTGCAAAAACAATATGCATTCAGTAGAAATTGTACTTTAAATTTTGACTTTTCATCTTTTCCCAGGCTAGCAATATGTGGCACGGTACCCTCTCTTGATGCTGGGCAGTGGCGGCAAGCACAGTTCCCAGTTAGCCATGCGATCATCAGGGTAAATGACCAATACTGTGTTCTACAATGTACTGTATTCAATAAATTATATGAGATATTCAACACTTTCTTATAAAATAAGCTTTGTGTTACATGACTTTGCCCAACTGTGGGCTAATGGAAGTGTTCTGAGCATGTTTAAGATAGGCTAGGCTAAGCTATGATGTTCAGTAGGTTAGATGTACTAAATGCATTTTCTACTTAGAGTGTTTTCAACTTGTGATGAGTTTATCATGAGGTGACCCCACTGTAAGTGGAAGAGCATCTGTAGTCTTACCATGACCCTGAGAGGAATTGTTGTCATTGAAGAAGCAGGCAGACAGGATGGGCTTAAACTGTGGTTTTAGGGAGTTGAGTTGGCTATTAGAAAGAAAATTTTTCTCTGAAGCTTGGAGAAACTGAAATATACTACTAACAAGGGTGGTGGTATCTTTTTAAGAAAACTCTAGGGAAAGGGGATAAAGCAGGTCTCTTTTGAGAGACTGCCATTAGAGAATTGAATGGCCTCTTCCCTGCCTTCCCCAATGCAAGGAAAATTCTTAGAACTGGAATAGAGCTGAGCAATCATCTATTTCAACCTCCCTCTCAATGCCAATCTTGGGATATCTTTACCTATCATGTATCCTTCCTAATTATTCATGTATTCACTCATTTCACAGATATGTGTGACTCAGGACACCATGTTGTCAGATCTTCACTATCCTAAGCACAATGTAACAACCCATAATGGCTAAGTAATGGTCCGGTAACATGGAGGAATGAAAAAGTTGTGTAAATGGCGTCAAGATTGTTTTAAGATTATCAAGCTAATAGAAGCAATAAACATCACCAGTTGTCTTAGGATTTATTCTGCAAGGGAGGATTTGCACTTAAAGGGACATCATCTCTTCCAACTAATACCAATTAACAATAGTAATGAAACAAACAGGCATAATTTCTACCACCAGAAAACTCTCACATGTGTAGTTTTTAAAATGTACACTATGCAGTAAAAGATACGAAATCAAGTATTAGACTAGGTATGTAAAATGAGAAATATTTTTCTCCAGAGACCCAGAGAACTTGAGGTAGTCATTGTCCTCGAAGCCCTTTGCACATCAAGATATGCAAGTTCAACTGTTTCACTTGGAATTCAAGTCTTCCAAAATATGGTCCCAGCTTTATCTGCTACTAAAGATCTGCATTCAACCTTTCAATGTCCTTAACACTGATATGATTATGATGTCTCACCTCTATCCTCCATAAATATAAAAGAGCATCAAAAGCACAATCAACAAAAATGACACTAGACAAATGGGACTATGTTGAACTAAATAGCTTCTGCATCTGCACAGCAAAGGTAACAATCAACAGTGTGAAGAGACGGCCTGGTGAATTGGAGAAAATATTTGCAAACTATTAATGTGACAAAGGACTAATATCCAGAATGTACGAGGAACTCAAACAATCCAACAGTTGAAAAAAAAAAACCCATATAATCCCATTAAAAAGTGAGCAAAGGACATGAATAAACATTTCTCAGAAGAAGACATACAAATGGCCAACAGGTATATGAAAAATGCTGAACATCACTAATCATCAGGGAAATGCAAATTGAAATCCACAATGAGACATTTTCTTACCCCAGTTAGAATGGCTACTATTAAAAAGACAAAAAAAAAAAAACAAAAAAACCCCAAAAAAACAGTAACAGATGCTGGCAAGGATCTGTTGGTGAGAATGTAAATTAGTACAGCTATTATGGAAAACAGTATGTAGATTTCTCAAAAAACTAACAATAGAACTACCATGTGACCCAGCAATCCCACTATGGGGTATTTATCTAAAAGAAAGAATTCAGTACATCACAGGCATACCTGTGCTCTCAGTTTATGACAGCATTATTCACAGTAGCAAACAGAGGGGATCAACCTAAGTGTCCATCAATGGACAAATGGATTAAAACTGTGATATTACCACACAAATAGAATACTATTTGGCCATAAAAAAGGAATAAAATCATATCATTTGTAGCAACATGGATGGAACTGGAAGTCATTATGTTAAGTGAAATAAACCTGTCAGAGAAAGACAAATATTGCACGTTCTCACTCATATATGGAAGCTAAAAAAAGTTGATCTTATGGATGTAGAGAGGAGAACGATAGATACCAGATGCTGGGAAGGTATGCTGGTGGGGAAGGGGATTAAGAGAGCTTAGTTGATGGGTACATATAGTTAGATAGGAGGAATAAGTTCTAATGTTCTATACCACAGTGGGGTGACTACAGTCGGTAACAATGTATTGTATATTTCAAAATAGCCAGAAGAGAGGACTTGAAATGTTCCCAGCACATAAAAATGATAAATACTTGAGGTAATGTCTACCCTAAATACCCTGACTTGATCATTCCACATTCCATGCATGTAACAAAATATCATGTATACTTCATAAATATGTACAAATACGTGTATCAATTGAAAAAAGGAAAAAAAAACCCATAAATGTAAGGAAGTCCAACTGTGTTCTGATTCTGCCCATAGTGTTTTCTTGATACGTTTTTAAAACATCACATAATATAAACAAAATATTTTGTTAAATGAGGATTGTCCCCTATAACCCTCCACTTGGTCCAGTCTGATTTCTATCCCAAGCTCAAGACTTTGTGAACTCTTGGGCTTTCTTCATGCCTAGAATCTCTCTTTCTGTCTCTCTCTTTTTCTACTCTGGAAATACACCTCCTAACTTTTACTTAAGGCCTTGATCAATTTCCAGACCAGCATCCACCACCAAGACCCTTCCCCAACAAGGATGCCTCCATTGATTACTCCTACAGGGAAAGCTCTGTGATCTCCTGGAGAAAGTAGTGTACACATCTCTTAATAACACACCAATGGCTGGGCGTGGTGGCTCACGCCTGTAATCCCAGCACTTCGGGAGGCCAAGGTGGGTGGATCACCAGGTCAGGAGTTCGAGACCAGCCTGACCAACGTGGTGGAACCCCGTCTCTACTAAAAATACAAAAATTAGCTGGGTGTGGTGGTGGGCAACTGTAATCCCAGCTACTCAGGAGGCTGAGGCCAGAGAATCACTTGAACCTGGGAGGTGGAGGTTGCAGTGAGTCGAGATCACGCCATTGCACTCCAGCCTAGGCGACAGTGTGAGATTCTGTGTCATAAAATAATAATAGTAATAATAATACTAATAACATACCACTTTGTGACATACCTCACGTTGTTACTTCATGCTTGAATTTCATTTCTTAAGTGTTCCTGTGCTGTTTTTCCAATGAGCCTGTGGGTTTTTGAGGGCAGGACTTAGGTCTTACGTTTCTGAGTCTCTCCTCTTCGTGCTGCCAGATACATAAACAACACTCACATTCCTACAATGCCTATTTCTTAAGTTAGTACTTCCCAATTTGAGGAACAAAGTGATTCATGTTAGAAGAAAAAATTATCTGAATCTTTGAGATTATACCCCATTTTTGAAATATTGCACCAAAAGTTGGTGATTACTTGGGTGCCAGTGGAATGGCAAATTAAAATGCATGATCAAGTACTGATTAACATTAAAGTGAAAATACAAAAATTAAACGTCTCAAAAACTATTAGACCCTCAACAATATATTTCCAACCCTTGCTTCCATCCTATACCTGCCCCCCACCACTCCCTTCCACTGTAATCCAACTTTGAGAGACACTGAGCTAAGTCTTGAGAGCTATTATTAAAACATCAAAATAACTCACCTGTGAATGCCTTAGTTCCAGTAATCTCATTAGATCAGTCAGCCATCCCTTAGTGGTGCACCAGGAGAGGAGACACAGGTCAGTTGCATTTTTATGGCAATGAGAGGCAGGTTGGAAAAGTCTAGAACTTTAGATCCTGACTGTTTCTAGGACAGCTTCTGCAGGTCAAGCTTTTCTGCATCAGGTCAAGAATCGCAGGAAAACCATCAAGCATGGTGGGAGTTTTGAGAAAGAGGAGGTGGTTACTGATACCAGATGCTGCAGACAAGCAACATAAACATGAGAAATTGGACGTACTCTGCAAGGCACTGCCTGTCAGGAAAGCAGCATCAAGAAAATGGGAAGAAGAAATAGAGCAAGATAGCAGCAGCAGATTGGGCATGAAGTAGGAGGTGAGAAAATAGGGATAGTGAGTAGAAGGGAAGGGCAGAAGTTGAAGAGGGACAGAGATGAAAGAAAGTCTTTGCTTATTCAGTTTTTGGGCAGGAAGATGAGCATATGTGTCGCTGAAATGACTGAAGATTCTAGAGAAGTGGTGGAAGTGATGGAACAAGGGTCGCCAGGTGGGGCTGAACCAAGGGTGCAGAAGGAATTAGCCACAGGCAGGAGGAGGGAAATTCTATTAAAAGCACACACACACACACACACACACACACACACACACAAACACAACAAAACAAACAAACAAACAAACAAACAAAAAACAAGAGCATGGCTGGGCCCCAGGACCACCTGGACCCAGGACTTTTCTCTTCACATCTGTTTCACTCCAATCTCAGCCCCTGCAGGTCCTAGTTTCTTCAGCCTGGTGGAGAAACAAGGCTGCCATCAATTCCCAAATGTTTATCTTCACAGGTACAGCCATGGGAGAAAGGCTGCACCAACCTTCTTGGCCTCAAATCAAAAATTCTAGAGAAAGGCTGTCACTGGTCCATCTTGAGTATGTATTTATTTGCTTGTTTGTAGATTTTAATTGAACATTCATTACTTTCAATTTTCCAGCTTTATTTTTTCAAATAAATTTTATTGTGCATATTTGATGTTTACTACATAAGGTTATGGGATGCATTTGATAGTAAAATCATTACTATAGTAAAGAAAAGTAACATTTCTCTCATCTTGAGTATTTTAGGAGCCCAATCATGGGTCAGTGAATTCTGGCTAATTCTGGCTGCTCACAAATGGAGTGGAAGGAGAGGCAGTTTTCATTGAAGAGGGAGGGTATGGTCAACAGATAGGTATCCATCCACAAATTTAGTCTGGAGGTGGAGAGTTCAGGAAATCTGAGAGGTTCATATCTTAAGTATTTTTTTGTTTGTTTGGTTGGTTTTGGTTGTTGTTGCTATTGGTGAAGTTAGGGTCTCCCAAGAATTAGGGGATAGATGATGATTCGGGCTACAAAAGGTTTGGAACTCTATCATGTGAAATGAGAACACCAACATAAGGACTGGGCAATGTTGAGAAGCAGCAGAGGGTAGAAGGCGTAACTGTGTCACAGGATCCACCCAGACTTATTCACGTAATGAATGTCATTGATGGCTATCTCTAGTATCACCCAGCATCCTGGACATAGTAGCGTGAAAACATAGTTGGGTTGATCCAAGGTTGGAGAGTGGAAATACAGGTGTTTTGGGCATGGCAGTGGGAACAAAGCAGCTGAGGTGGGAGGAAGGGCTGAAGTAGGGAGGATCTACCTGCAGAAGGAGACTGTGAGATGACTAGCACAGGGAAGAGGACAGAGAGCTTGGGAAGCAATCAGGAAACGGTGACAAAAGCTGTTGTGTCTCAGTGGTGCCTCTTATGATGCCCAAGGGAGATGACCCCTCAGGCAGAATGAGCACACCCTGGTGTGCTCAGGAAAGTTCCATGAAATTATCAATGGCACCTCTTTCTGTTATTGAGAGATGCCCAAGTTGGATGCTGAATCATGTGGTCTGTCCACCCAATGCCAGGTCTGAAGCGACTGAGGAAAATGACCTCTCGGGATGTCAACCTTGTGTGCTGCAGCCCCAGACCCACTGGCTGGAAGGAGCAACCCTGGCTTTCCACCTGCTTGTTCCTACCTTTTATTTCTACCAAGGGAAATGGAGACTCCTTCAAAGTCTCCAGCACCTGCAGATTTGGAGTCTGAAGAGAAAGGGTCAGAGACAGAAATAAAGCTACCCTGGCTTGGCCTGCCAGCTGACTGCAGGGAGAACCCACATACACTTGAGGCAGAAGGGAATGGCAATGGGCATGAAAATACTGCCATATCCAAACTGTGTTTCCTGAAGCCATCCGATACACCCAGGGTGCCTCAGGGCAGGAAGTCTCAGAAACCACATGCAATTTCTGACCACACACTTCAGCTTTTCTTGGCATGAAGAAGGCAAGGGCCATGCCTGAATGGTTTTTGTATCTCCCACAGCGAAGACCAATGTCTTGCCCACAGTAGATTCTCAATACATACTTACATGATCAATGGGATGTCCTTTTCAGGGCAGATTAGAATGGTCCTGTCTCGGGACAGGTGTCTCAGTTGGTGGCCTTCAACCTAGCTTGTAGACCTAACTGTGCAAGAATAGACCACAGGAAATGGGGCAGCTGAGGATGGGGGAGCAGGCTGGAAGGAGTTGGGGTGGAATTTTTTCCTGACCCCAGCTGGTGATCAGCTTGTGCTCTAAAGCAGAAGGATTAATAACCAGGGTAATTTTATCCCAGTCAGAATGTAACTACAGATGTGGGCTTATTGGGTGAAAACAGCTAATCCCTTCTCCATTTGGCTCACTTGTGAAATACGATGAAATACGATGCCTGGGGCTATCAAAGCACGGTTTCCTCCTGGGCCTGCTGCTGCGTGCAGCCCCACTCTCGTGGGCGAGAGGACAGCTGTCTGTGGACAGTCGTTTGGGCTCCTGCCTATTGGATGGACTGACTCTGCCACTGACTGACGGTGGAGCGGAAGGGAAGAGGCGTGTGGGTGTGCGTGTGTCTGTGGACTCGGGGAGGGGAGGGTGGAGTTGAAGGAAAATGTCAGGTGTTGGAGCGGGCGGGTGCCCTGAGACGCTGGAGGAATAGAAGACTCTTGGAAAAAATCTAAGATTCATTGCAACCCCAAGTCCCGAAGGCCAGAGGGGATGGGGAGGCAACAGGAGGAGGGTGTGAGACTCAGGGGGCGCACCTGGGTTTACACGTGGCCCAGATCAGAGCCAGCAGGCCTCGGGTGCTGGCCTCGGGAATTTGTAGCATGATCATAGTGGGAGGCTCTAAAGCCAGAAGAACTCAATTAATCAAAGAGCTGCTGCTGATGGAGCAAAGATGAAAGCGTTTCCAGGCGAGCCAGTGAAACGCTTGGAGGTTTTCCCCCGGCAACCACCCTGGGGCGAGTAACAGGAGATGCGGTGGGTGCTGAGGTCTGGGAATCCAGTGCAGCACCGGGAGGGAGGTACGCAGGGAGACTCGTGGGGCTTGAGGAGGGGCGGAGGGAGCCCTGAGCCGTCCCGAGGCCCAGCGCGGAGACCTCGAGAAGGGGCGTGGCCCCTGAGCTGTGCGGAGGCCTAGCGTGGGGAATCCGGAAGGGGAGTGGCCCCCTGAGCAGTCAGGAGGCCGAGCGCGGGGAATCGCGAAGGGGCGTGGCCCTCTCCGAGCTGGCGCCTGGGAGGCTCCCACCTGCCAGCGGTTGCACGTGGCCGCCTGCCCCCATCCCCCGCTTCCCTGGGCGGGTCTCTGCGCCCAGTGTCCTGACATGCGTGGCCAGCCTTGCTGCTCATCCCCCGGGGTTGGCTGGGTGGTCGCCTCCCGCACGTCCCCGACTCCCCGACGCCTCTCCGCGGGGTGCGCCCGGGGCACTGGAAGCCTGGATCACTTACACCGAACGTCCCGGGCCCGAGCTCTCTGTTCCCCGCCTCTTCTTCGCCCCTCCCGTCTTTTCCGTCCCAGGCTGATGAAGCAGGCGAGGTTAAAGCTTAGTTCCAGACACTTTAAGAAATGTTCTGGGGTTCTTGGAAGTTGTTTAGGAAAAGCAGAGTGCCTGGCGTCCCCATGCAACACTCCCGAACTGGAGACGGCATCTGGCAGAGGGGTCGTGATGGGCGGGCGGAAAGCAAGAATGACCAGGGGCTTTAAATAAAATCTTTCTCATTTTTCCCTTCCCCTTCCCTGTGACCTTGCGTCCATAATTAATCCTCCCACTGTCCCCACCCCAGAAGCCCAAAGAATGGGGAGACTAAAGCCCCTTATCCCAGAGGGCTAGGTGGACCCCCGGAATCCCCCCGCTCAGCCTGGGAGCCCAGGCAGGGCTGCACAGAGAAGGATTTTGTCTCCAGGGCAGGCTTCAGGGTTGGGAGGCACACATCCCCATGGCAACGAGTTCTTCCCGTGGGAATAAGAAACTCCCGAATGTGGAGCAAATTGGAAAGGCACCTTCCACGCGCCAGCTGGGACTGCAGGCAGGGTAAGGGGAGGTGGTCTGCAGCGGGTGGGGATGGGGAGGTACAGCTGATCCCAACCCGCGACCCGGAGCATGGCGCCGGAGCTGTGCGTGTTGCCTCTGAGTCAGATGGCCACACATGCTGGACACGTGACATGACATGCTCTCCGATGGCTGCCAGTTGGCAGATGTGTTTGCTAACTTGCTTAGAACAGCCACTGCCAAGTACTGGCCTGGCTAAGTGGGACAGTTCCCTTCTGTGGGTCTGTTCCAACCTCCCCTTGGTGGTGAGACCAATAGCTCCTGTTGGGAGAACGAGTCTGAGCTATGGAATTCAGTTCTCTCGCACTGAGGTCATTGATTTCTATTACAATTTTTTTTCAAGTCTCAAAAATTTTAAAGTCACATATATATATATATACACACACACACACACACACATATATATATTCCAATTCAGAAAGGTGTAAAGAAAAGGAAAGTGATTCACAACCCCCAATCCTTCTTCCCAGACATAACCATTGTTAACATTTTGTTGTCATCCTTCCAGATTCTTCATGTGCACATGTAGCTATATGTATGTAGGTGTATTTATATAAGCACCACAGACATGCAAAGCTGGCTGAAAATATATATCATCATTTTTTTTCTTTCTCTTTCTTTTCTTTTCTTTCTTGGATTACAAGCATACGCCACCATGCCCGGCTAATTTCGTATTTTTAGTAGAGATGGGGTTTCTCCATGTTGGTCAGGCTGGTCTTGAACTCCAGACCTCAGGTGATCCACCTACCTCGGCTTACCAAAGTGCTCGGATTACAGGCGTGAGCCACCGCGCCTGGCTTATATCATCATTTCTAATGGCAACACAGGATATACCATGCTTTATTAACCTATTTGGTATTGCTGGACATTAAGTGGCTTCCCAATATTACCCTTCTATGTGATGATACGCATCCTTAGAAAGTTTTGCACATCTGGTCTGCTAATTTTCTTAGGTAAACTTCTAGAATTCTGGGTGTAAGGGTATGTGCATTTAAACTTTCAATGCACATTCCTGTAATCTGGGTCTGTGGATTTTTTAGGAGCCAGTGGGCTTTATTTTCTCCCCTCTGAGTAGTGGGAATCAAAGGGAAAGGTCCCTTATATACGGTGTCTGTTTGGATTCCCCTTGAAACAAAATGTGAAACAAGAATGTGAGCATGAGTCGTATTTTTCAGAGGTGATCCAGAAAGTGCTCTGAGTGGTGAGCAATAAAAGGTGCATTATTGAATGGGTTGTTGCTGGGGTGCTCTGAGAGACCATGAGAACACGCCTCAGGATTGTGCTGCATTAGTTTCTGCGGGGCATCACCACTCCTGATCTTCTGACTGTCCCCACTGTTGTTTGAAAAA